GTCTAAGACATGTCCACAATACCTGAAATATTATTGTGTACAAAAATCATGTATATTCAAAAAACAAAACAAAAAAGATGCCGTTTTTTAAGACAGCAAATCAGTAAAACTTCGATATATGAATCTCCTTTACTTCCTCGCTCATTGTAAAGCCAAATCAGGACAGATACATATACAAGCATAAACCCTTTCGGTCTTTGCCTAAAGGAAAATTGCTTTAATCATAAATTTTAAGCAATATGAGTATTTGTTACATTGCAGCTATTCCATCGTCACCCCCGAGTCTAGATCCAGATCTCGGCATGAAAATAAATTCCTATGCTGAAAATTTTGTCAGACATGTCTATGAAGGCGACTTAATGAAATTCAGGTGTAGCGTATATCCCTTGGGAAATCCTCCAATCACGTGGACATGGTTTTGTGGTGACGAACAGATGAGAAATGTAACATTTAAAAGCTCTTATACTTACATGATTTTCACGGCAAATTGGCATCATGACGGGAAATCTTGTTATTGCAGAGCGAAATCACATTCGACTGTTTTATTTTACGACTACCCATCTCGTTATCGTTATGTGATGCGTGTTTATCGTAAGTATTTGATTACATCACTCATTCTTACTAATTTGTTAATTTTGATAAATTAACACACACATACACATTCATCTGATTTAAATGAAGTTTTTTGTGTATGGATGCAACAGGTTTTTTTTCAAAAACAAGACTTTGCTGTGTTTCCCTCAGGAATGTTGTATCACCTATGGGAGACTGTTTTTTTTTTGTAAATTTTTCATTAAAAAAAAACTTCCTGTTTTTAGCGTAACATAAGGAAGAATATTAATAACATATATTACTTTATAACATGCTGGTTGATCTTTGATGGACCACATCTGCATATTTAAGAGCCATTCTCTGTAATGACTTGAACTTTTATATAGGGGCTGTGGCACGCATAGTCTCAGAATTTCTCCAAACTCTCTATGATAAAAGTCTTTGATACCGTAAACTCAAACCAGGCAAAAATTGGTTGCTACGTGTCATGGTTACCATAGCAACATGTCCTAAAGTTTGAAAAATGGCATTTTTCAACATCTTCAGAGTCCCACAGTTAACGTTTGCAGCAAAGCAAACAAGTGGCAATGACTGTTTCTGAAAGCTAAAGGCCTGGTGTCTTAAATGCATGATAAACATGTTTGGTAAATCATCTATAACATACGTTACTATGGCAACAATGTATTCAAAAGTAATAATTTTGTTCATTTAATTTTATAAAGTCATACACTAAAGAATAAAAACAATTATAGCTTGAAATGCAAGCAATTAATAGAGAAAAGATCCTTGTAACATATACCAAGGACAAAATATGATATTTCTTATAGGTTGGCAATGGTTGCCATGGTTTTAATACCACGAAGGGATTTTAATTTTACTCTCTTAGTGTTTTAATCTTATCCTATCTTTTTAAAAAACATATTTCTATATAACTGATGATCAATTATTAAAGGCCTTGGTGTAACCCTAATTTTCACATTTCAAAAAATTCAATTTCAATTCTTTAAATAGTGCGTTGCTATGGAAATAAGGCGAAAAAACATGCATAAAAATCTGAAAAATACTCTGTTTCCTTGGATACGTATCGTTGTATGTAGATTCCCAAGACTTTAATGATTGATATATGTGAACAACTAACCTGACTTTCAATTTTGACTATCATCCAATCTCTAACTGGATGCAAAAAGCTGGCACATAGGGTCTAATATTGACAAAAAATTAACAAAATCGAACATTTTCTCTTCTTGGTAACCATAGCAACAGTGTTGTATTTTTCAATAACCTTTATCAATATTTGATATTCAACTTTAGTTCTACGAGATAAGTACTATTCAGGGTGATTCAAATAATATATTTCTTGATTAAAAAGTTAGTAAATACCCAAAGCAGCAAAAAAATATCACTTTAAACAACTAGTACGTTGTTTCCATGGTTACACTGCAAAGTATCAATTAATCTCAATTTTTCTTATGTTGTCGGTGTTGCAAGGTCCTAAGGATGCATATGTGCCAGTCATGAATTTTATTGTTTTTCCTTACGATAGTAGCATTAACCCAATCATAGCAACAGTTTTTGCATGGTGACACTGTGTTACCATGGCAACCATGAAAGTTATTTTTAGAATAATATTGCCAATACCTAATTACATGAGGTCAAATATTTTTCATTGTTTTTCTTACGTTGTTGATTGAGTTTGATCATGTAACATCTATCATTTGTGACTATAGAGCGTTTTTCAGCATTTTTCAGCATCTAAAATGTATTCAAAATGTACCCATGGTTACCACTTACTTAGAGATTAATTCTAAATAGTTTCTTTATAGCATAAGTGGCAACAAGGTGTCATGTTTTTGGGAGAATGGTTTGTTTGTTTTTCTTAGTCTTTATTAAGACTTAATAAAGATTTAAAGTAGCTGAAAATCTCAATTTTTTCAACTTTTCTGGCTGTTACCATGGCAACCAAGACACATAGCAACGAAATTTTATTTGATATATGTTTCTGGTGTCAAGTTGTAGTAATGGGCAAAGTTTCATCAAAATCGGTGACCATGCGTGGCAAAGAAGTTTAAGTGGTTACAGAGAATCGCTATTAATGCCAATTCTCATAATTATAATTATGCTTAAGTGCACAGAAAGATTCAATGAGTAATACTTTCAGTGGCCATGGGACTATGTTGAAAATTAAAGATGTATAGATCCGGGAAAAAACCCAGTTATCTGCTTTAACTACTACATATTGAACATGAACTTTCTGAATTAGGATACAATGCGCAATAACGTCTATAACCTATGTTGACTTTTGCAAGATTCACCAAAGGCACGACCTATGATTTATCCCTTGTCTCCTACAACTGTACAGAGTGGTGAATACATAAACATAAAGTGTAATCTTACAACATTGGGATATCCACAAATAAGCTGGAGATGGATCTGTGACAACACTGCACCGCAGAATGGAGTGGACATAGGAACAGAGACTTACATAGAAATCAAAGCAAATGTACGTCACAATGGGAAGGTTTGCAGATGCAGAGGAATATCCCCCTCTATCTATATATACGACGAAGTTTCGGATCCAGTTATCATCACCGTTTTCTGTAAGAATCATTGAAGTAATGTGGTCTGTATTTTTTGAATATTTTGTAATTTGAACAGATATAAAGAGATATTATACATTATTAAATGAACGTGTTAGTAAGGATTGACTGATTGATGATTGTTATTGTTAAATGCCGAGTCTGCAATTTTTCATCCATATTTCGGCGACGTTCGTAAGGAAAGATTTAATGAATATTAATGATTGAAAGAACTCAAATGACCATAAGTGACAGACGTGGGACGAATAGATGAACACGCTGAATATCAGAAAAAAATTCTTAGTTTTAATTCTCAAAGTCAAGTATATTCTAAATTCATAATTATTCATAATACTATAACATATTAATAATATTTTTGCATTAAATTCATTCAGCGAAAACTGATGTAGACTCTCAAGGCATGAGAGATGCAGCTAAACCTGGTGAAGAAACTCAATGTATAACAGCTGCAGCATTTGGAACAACTACTGGGTTACTGGTGGCTATCATCGTTGTGTTAAGTATTGTCCTCCTGATACAGTGTATGAGAAGAAAAAAGGGAAACTCTTGTTCTGGTGGAAATTCTGGTGAGCTTTTCAAGAGAAATGGAAAAAAGTAGTTTGAAGAATACCAACACTTTTTTAAAATATTTAATAATAATGTATGTTACCATATTCTGTTTTCAATATACATACATTTTCATTACATACCAAACTAGGCATCACCCAATTTTACTGTTGATTTCGTTTTATAACGTAATCACTTTCCGGATCACCGCACTATAGTTTTCTGAATCCATATCATATCACCACACTCTGAAACTGATGACGTAGTACATGTCATATATATGATGGTTTTAGCGTGTAAAAAAAATCATTGAACATGTGATTGTTTGTTTGTTTTTTTAAGATAAATGTACATGTACATTTATTACATTTCACTACAGTTAAATAGAGGGGCATACAATAAATTTACCATTATAACAAGAAATTTGATCTGAAAAGCCAGATCACATCTCATTCATGTACGCGGATCTTCATATCAAACTAGCGATCGACTCTTCGCGTCTACTTTGATTTGATGATTCGGCGTGATCTGGTTCTTCATATCAAGTTACTATTATCTGAGGAATCACTGTATAGTTTGTTGGGAATAAACAAAAGTCAATTGTGGGACAATATACATATCTGGCGAACAAACTAGATAGTCGTTCTTTTTATTAAGATTTATATGTGAAATAAAAAGGTAAAAAGAAGTAAAAAGAAAAAGGCCGTCTAGTAGATGTGGAATACATGTGGCATTCCAGAACAATGTACAATCCTTCAAAGTTTTAACAACTTCGGTCTCAGCAGTCACTGAGAAAAATGAAATTAAGAAAAAATCTAGTTTGTCTGTTTCAATGAAACGGTTTTCATTTTGAAAAACTCATATGTAAATTGTACATCTAGAATTGGTGATTATCATTTCTGTGAAGTTTCTTTAAAATTCTCCCAGCCATCTGCGAGAGCATTTGCGAACAAAATTTTAGGTCTAGAATAACAAAATGTCGCCAGACTTCGTTCGGGGCAACAAATATGACAACATAAATCTAATCAAATGTTTCAAAAGTATACATTTAGGTACATTTCAGCAATGAATGACCTGGTCATTATGTAATAATTAAATAATGACAGGTATTAAGACAAACTTTCGCAATTTAGTGAAAGCAAAAGAGGTGTATTTTGCCATTTCTCAAAATATTACCCGCTCGAATAACAAAATTTAAAATGCAGAGAATATATAAAACTGAAATTTCGGTTTATCTTTCATTCATCATGAATATATTGTTGTTCATGTGGCGAATATCTTTCATAAGATATTATTTACAAAATTTCAGGGAAAATTGAAGATCAAAAAGAAAGGTAAACACTCTTTAAATCTATATTGTTCTTTAAAAAATAGAATTAAACTATCATTTGTAAAATACTAATAATAAATTTTGGATTTTTTCTGCATTCTTGTTGATTTATAACAGTGACAACAAAAGTCAACAAAACCCTTTATATGTCAACGATGAAACCTACGAAGTACTTCAGGTTAACAAAGGTGGGTGAATCTTATAGGAACATGTACAATTTTATTTATTTTATAAGTATAAATTATTTGTGAATATAATATTCTTTACACTTGAACTTTTAATTTGAAGAACAAATTCTATTCATTACAATAAGTGGAAACACTTATTACTTTGATAATCGTCCATTTCAGACCGCACATAAATCAATGGCAAGGCATCTCAGAGCAGAAAAAAAATGACTCGAACAGGTTTTATGGTACAAAAAAAAAAAAACGTCGTTAAGCATCCTGAAAGACAAAAGTATTATCCTGTGTATGTATTTTGCTGTATATCATTACATTGTTAACGTCATTTTATAATTTCCTTATTTTATAATTCTTCAAAAAAAATGTGTGTATACTTTCCTTTTCCTCGAATCAAACTGCACGAATACTAGAATCAAATTTTATCAGTTTTATAAAATGTGAAATCTTGTTTTCGAGGGGTTTAATTTCCGTGATATGAACAGACCCATGTATTCATGTCTTCCGGGAAATGTAAAATTTTAAAACTACAGTATCATATTTTTTTCAACCGCGAAATCAAGTACATTTTACCACATTAGAATAATTGATTTTTCACTAATCCTAGCTGATTTTAAGCGAAAAATATATAAAAAATTATGGAATTCCATATACGACAGCCAACTGCTTACTGCCAACTGCTCACTGCTTACTGCCAACTGCCACACATATTTGAATAAATTTTCATATTTATATTGATATTTATTTGAATTTTCATAAAACCAGGCGCGGATACTGGAATTTTTTACAAGAGGGGTCCACCCCAGTAAAAAAAATCCAACTCAGAAATTTCTTGACAAGAAAAAAAAAACTTAAACTCCTTTCCTAAACGAGAAAAACCTATTTCGGCGGGAGTGGGGGTGGGGGAGGGGAGGGGGTTGACATCTTCTGCTTCATATCTATGACTTTTCATATCAACTTAACACGGATCCGCGTTTTCTAGGACGGGGGGGGGGGTGTTCCAAGGTCACTTTAAGTTGATTTAGTATATACATTAAAAAATTCTACAAATTCCAGGGGGTGGTCCGATCAACCCCCTCCCACCAACCCCCCAACCCCCCTCTAGATCCGTGTATGTAAAACATAACTTATTTGGGAAAACAAAGAGATATAAATTTTTAATTTGAGGAAATATTTCACTATAGGAATTAACGGAAATGGAAATTTATTTTTAAAACATCTTTCCCCGTGAAACAACAAATCCTTTTTTTTTTTTAGTTTCTATTCATCCCAAAGGTTTTCTCTTAGGGGGGGGGGCACGTGTTTTTGAAGATTAAAAACAGGAAAATAGTCATTTTATTACCAATTTCAAATGAGATAACAAATAAAAAATGTTTTTTACAGATCTAACAGATCTAACATTAGCCATTAAAACGATTTACATAAGACACATATAAAAATTCCCACACCTAGGTACTTTTTCTAGGGTCAAAAGAAAATCCGAAAGATATCACAAGATATTTTAAACTAGGCAAAAGTTGTTTGTTATTATAACTTTCAGTAATATTTCTAGTATAAATACATATACCAACAAATGTTATTCAAGACCCTTTTAAAAGTTTGTTCTTTTGTCGTATGTGACCCCCCCCCCCCCCTTACCCGCATCAAAAAAAGCTATCAAATTATTTGCCTGCAACGGAATGCAGAAATTAAATGTTTTGTTTTTAAGAAGAAATACCCCTTCTTCCGATTTACTCCTTCCTCGTCTTTACAGTTTAAAAATTCCTAAATCCGCCAAATTTTGTTATTTGTTATTACTACGCACACTAACTCTCGATTCCCGCCTACATTTTCCATCAATTAATTCAGTATAAATGGCGATTTGGACATGAAAACTTGTTTGAATGCAAAGAAAAGTTCATTAGTTTTAAGTACTAATTTTAAAAACCAGTGACAAAAAGAAGTTGCTCTTATTTACAACTCCTTTCATAAGGGGGTAGAAAATTTTATCACTTGAAATCAGGCTAAAAACATCACCATTTTCAAATACTCATGAAAATGAATATGGATAAATGACTCTTAAATCTCACCGTATGTTTTAACTTGTGTAAAATTTAACATATGAGATTGATAAAGTGATAAAGTACATTTTTTTTGTTATCTCACTTGAAATTGGTAATAAAATGACTATTGTCCTGTTTTTAATCTTTAAACACGTGCCCCCCCGCCCCCCCCCCCCCCGTAAGACAACAAAACCTTTGGAATGAATAAAAACTGAAAAAAAGGATTTGTTAATTCACGGAGGAAGATGTTTTGAAAATAAATTTCCATTTTCCGTTAATTTCTATAGTGAAATATTTCCTCAAATTAAAGATTTATATCTCTTTGTTTTCCCAAATAAGTTATGTTTTACATACACGGATCTAAGGGGGGGGGGTCGGTGGGAGGAGGGGGGTCTTGACCATCTCCTGGAATTTGTACAGTTATTTAATGTATAGGCCTATACTAAACCAACCAAAATTGACCTTGCAACCCCTTCCCCCTTGAAAACGCGGATCCGTATTAAGTTGATATGAAAAGTCATAGATACGAAGCATAAATGTCAACCCCCCACCCCACCCCCCACCCCGAAATAGGTTTTTCACGTTTAGGAAAGGAGTTTAAGTTTTTGTTTTGTTTTGTTTTTTTCTCGTCAAGAAATTTCTGGGTTGGAATTTTTTTTTTTTACTGGTCTGGGCCCCTCCTGTAAAAAAAAATCCTGGATCCGCGCCTGGTTTTATGAAAATTCACATAAATATCAATATAAATATGAAAAATTATTCAAATATGTGTGGCAGTTGGCAGTAAGCAGTGAGCAGTAAGCAGTGAGCAGTTGGCAGTAAGCAGTTGGCTGTCGTATATGGAATTCCATAAAAAATAAAATACTTTTTTTTTTTTTTTTTTTTTTTTTTTTTTTTTTTTTTTTTTACAAAATTTTGCTGAAGAAAGGGTTTAACATAAATATGTATAATGTTTCCTTAAGAATACCAACAGGTTAACAATCATTAATGTGTCCACTGCTTATATTCAAGACTTTAGTTATGCTTGAACAATAATACTAATGATCTTTCCTATGTTGACTGAATAAATTGATGTATGAAATTTCAAATGTATGTTTCTTTTTTTTTTTTTATCAATTACACTCACGTGCCAAAAGTATGTCAATTTTTTCACAAGATGGTCTCCTTAGTTTACTACTTGAATAAAAATGATGCACTTACCTTATTTCTTCGTATTTTGACTTAATATTTTTTTATCGGATAATTTTTTTTAAAATTGATTTTTTATTAATTAAAAACAGAGGGAGATAACTCTTACCAAAATTCAAGGTCATTTATAGGGACACATCCCACACTTACATGCTTATAGTAATAAATAGGAATTATGTCTTGATATACTGAGTATTCGACGTCTGCACATTTGTTGTGTATTCAATTTAATTGATCCTGTTGCTATTAGGGATGGAATACCTTAAGTTAACTTCTTTATTTCTGATTCAACCTCCAACTTCTTCAGCTAGCTTCTGAATGCCTAACTTTCCTAAAGATTTGCCTTATATACCCTTGCCTTGGCTAGTCCATTCCAAGGGTTGTCAGGTCATTCCATTTCCAATGAAGTCTTCAATGCGTTTTACTCAAATGATCCTTAACCATTACACCTATATATTCCTATGTAAAACTTTGACCCACTGTTTTGGCCCCGTCCTACCCCATGGAGTTATGATTTAAACGAACTTGAATCTACACTACCCGAGGATACTTCTGTATTAATATGACTAATCATAGCTTTGCTGTTCTTGAGAAGACATTTCCTATATATACCTATATATAACTTCGACCCCCTCTTGTGGCCCAGCCCTACCCGGGGGTTATGATATGAACAAACATGAATCTAGAGTATGTAATGAAGCTGTCACACATGTTTCATCTTTTCTTGCTCAGTGGTTCTTTAGAAGAAGATTTTTAAAAGATGCCACCAAATTTTCACGAATTCTTCATTATCTCCCCTTGAAAGAGGTCACAGCACTTCCTGTGAACAAACTTAAATCACCTTCACCAAAGGATGCTTTGTGGCAGGTTTGGATAAATTGGCCCAGTGATTCTTGAGAGAAAGTCGAAAATGTGAAAAGTTAACAGACGACATACGAACGAGGTTAATAACATTTAGAAAAACGTTTATAAACCGTCTTCTCAATTAAGGTTGTTCTAATTTAATACAATGGGTTTTTCATATCATATTAAAAAGAAATGACAAATGATTTTTTTACGCATTTAAGTGAATTATATGTTTCTATATACAACATACATTTACCCAAAGCATACACGTAATTTGCTATTTTGATTTTTAGGCCTAGACACTTTTTTTATCAATATCTTTTTCTATTCAGTGTAAAAACCATAAATCATTGGGTGTGAAATATTTCACGTTTCATTTTTAATAGTCCATTCCAGTTAACATACTCTTTTTATTAAAATCATCATGTTTTATTTTCATAATGCAAAATTAAAGATTATTAGGATAGGTGTTACTTTTGACAAAACTGAAAATTTCAAGTCTAAAAAAACATTCGTCAAGAAATAAATGATTTAAACTTTTAATTTGTTATAGAATCATATTGATTGATGGGTAGAAAACACTAATTAATTTATGCTTTCATCAATTTTTGAAATTTTTTGTGAAAAAAAAAATGAAAAAAAATCATTATGAAACTTTGATTTATTATTTTTATCATTGGAAACTTATGGGATTATTTGCGAAAGAATGTGAAGGAGTATTTTACTAACTCCTATAACTTAAATTCATTTTATCATAACATATCTTTGAGTATATTTGCTCATATGAATATCACATCCAGAAGTTAAACCTTTCGCTCTTTTCATGAAAAGTTTGAATAACTCATAAATATATGATATGATCTGAAAAAGAAGACGATTATAATTCGATTGAAAACCTTAATTATATATCAAATATATCAGTTACGGCATGCCTGTTTTTTTTTAACTTTTCACCTTTCAATTTCCAACGTATGTATTTTCTGCCTGTATTTTTACCTCATGCAAATATTTCAAATGTCCTGTGACGGATAAAATTTTCAACACAAATTCTTAAGATGTATATTTATTTTTCAGATGTTGTTTGTAATATTGCTGATTTTTTTTCTCTGAGCAATTTATTCATAATACCTCAAAGAAATTGAACTTTAATTATTCAAACTCTTAACGAAA